TGATCATCCTTTTGGTGATCTCCTTACATTCTGGGGCAGCTGTCACACAGTTTTGCAGGGACAGATTAAAACAAAGAGGTGGTTTAGGTAAGCAAGTGGATTATAACATTGCATTTCCTAGAAACAGGAAAAAGATAAATTTTACTTTTAGGAACTAATTTCAGGATTATATTCCTGAAGTTTGGTCTGTTAGGAGATATTCAAATGGTAAATCTTTTCCTCTGATCTCCAATAAAAAGCTAATGTCAGGGGTTGCTGGGCATGTCTCCTCTAAATGATATTAAAGGAAGATCAAGAAGGAAAGTGGGGACAAGATGGAATCCTACAGGTGGGATTCAACCTCAGATTAAACTCCTTATATTTAGATCCCTTTGTGGATATGTTCCATCTGCACTCTGGGGAGCTTTGGAGATTTGGTCAATAGAGACTGAACAACTGCAGAGCAAGAGCAGTGATAAATTAATCCTAGAGTCCCCAGCCTTCACCCTCAGCAGTATGAAAAAAAATTCCTGTCAGCTAAAATACCAAGAAATACGCACATGGACTTTAAAGTAAACTCATCAAACCAGTGAGGCTCCCCTGTGATGCCACAGTCTAAGCTAACCTCTGAATTTCAGATATGCTTGGGCTGAAAGAATCTCTGTATGTGTTATTGTCTGCACCATGCTGAACTCCAGTGCTTTTTAGAGGAAAATTTGGACACAGAAATTGGGTGACTCACTGCAATAGAACAGAACAAATTCAGACAGCTCATCTTTTCTCTGGGTTCATGTAGCAGTTTAACCCCAATTTTTCTATTTCCCATGCAGCCTGCTATCAGAGTCTCTGCATCCTGGCCTATCAGAAATCCTGCAAATGTTCATAATAATTTTCTTGATTGATGGTTGCTTTTCCTGCTTCTATTTCCTTTGTGTGATTTATTTTCTATGCAGGCAAAATGTGTGATAAGAGACTTCTGGAGCTACTTAATGATATTTTCTCTTGTGGACATTATTGAAATGGACAGATTGGATGTGAAGACCTTAGTGAACCTTCTGGGAATCTTTTTTCTCTCTCAATTTCTTCTGATGCAGTTTTTTTCACCTGTTGTTGCAGATATTCCTAGCAATGAATTAAAATAAATATCTCATCAGGAATGCCTGCAGATCCTCTGAATGTATTTCTGATAGTTGACTGCACAAATGTTTTATTTTTCAATCCGTTTAACATGAGCTTGTTTGCCTTGCTTGCTGGTGCTGGAGGAGCACTCTGAATCCTGAATACTGAAATAAAAATCACTGCTATTGTTTAAAACATGCAAAAATGTATCATTTATTCAAATGTAAGATTTGTAAGTCATTGAATTTCATGGGGGAAGAATCATTAGTCAAAGTGCAGGCTGCACTAGGGGTCATATTTAATTTATTTTCAAAGCCTTCATTCGTGCTTTTTGGTCCAGTGTGTCATAAGTTATTCAATACACAAAGGTGTCTACTTATGTCTCAAAGTAATTAAGCTGATTAAGTCATATTATCACTAACAAGAAGCATTAATTCTACTTGAGTGAATGCTGCAAAACAGAGCCAGTGACATTTCCACCACTTAAACTGAAAATACATTATAGGCTAACTGGGAAGCAAAAGCATCCCTCAGCCCTGGCCTGCTCTTCCATCTGATCTCTGTGGAGGAGTTGGCAACTGATGTTTTCAGAGCAGAGAAAAGGAAAAGGTGCAAAGGAGCAGAGAAAATCAGCATGTGACAATCATGCAGACGTTTTTCAGCGTGGCACAGGCTAAGTTATTATGGCAGAAGCTAAAGAATATTTATTTCTACACAACATTTACCAAGATCAAAAAGGAAACAGGGGGAAGAGATCCAGCCAGGAACAGGCAGCTCTGTTGGTGGGTTCAGGGAGACATTTAAGAGGCAATTTGAAAAGAAATCGGAATGGATCTTGCCAGTCTTGAATAAATTAAGGGAGGAGAGGAGAGGAGAGGAGAGGAGAGGAGAGGAGAGGGGAGGGGAGGGGAGG